TAGGCCTGAGCATACCCCCCTCAAACACGTGCAGTCATGGACAGTCTGGTGGCCCAGAGGGAGCCAGAGGGTGACTGTCAGCAGTGAGAGCCAGTCTCAGAAGTGGTGGCTGGTGAGGGTGGTATTGGAGGGTTTCTGTGCTCCGGCATTAATGTGCTTACTTCTCACCCCTGGGGCACCTGGGTTTAATTACTCAGGTCACATATGCAAATGAGTCTGCTATCACCCCTGGTCCCAGCGGACAGCACGCAGCCTGATGGGCAGGAAGTAAGGATGCCACTGGCCAGGTGGCCTCCCATTAAGACCTGAGGAGCATAATTAGATGGTGGTACCTGCCTGCCTCATTTCTGGGTCCTAGATGAGCGCGAGAGTTCGAGACTGTGTCTGGGGAGTCCTTGCTTCCTTAGGGCACCAGGTCGGTTGCCAATGGCAGGGACACGCTGGGACCGGTTGAGGTAGAGGGCTTCTACAGAAAAGGAAGGAACTGGGAAGATCGCTTGCCAAAGAGACCGTGGACCAGGGGTTGCAGGTTCAAAAGCTGACAACTGGCCACGTATGTGAGAATCAGGCCCAGTGTATCAATTTTCTAACCTGTTATAACCCAGAAACTGTGTTTACAAGAAATGTTTTTTTAGATTTCGATAATTAGAATTTTAAAAAAATACTGGGTCCAGCTCTGGCCAATTTGCTCAGTGGTTAGAGCATCAGCCCTCGGACTGAAGAGTCACCAGTTGGATTCCCAGTCAAGGGCACGTACCTGTTTCTAGTTCAACCCCTGTGCCCGGTTGGGGTTGTGCAGGAGGCAACCAATCAGTTTCTCTCTCTCCCACTCTATCTGAAAACATCAATGGAGAAATATCCTCAGGTGAGGATTAAAAAAAACAAAGAAACACTGGGTCAGGGATTGGGGGTAGAACTGATTGGGAAGGGGCTCAAGGAACTCTTGGGGGTGCTGGAATTGTCTTGACTGTCATGCTGTTGGCTCCGGTGTCCACTCACTACACGGGCGCCTGTTCCTACATGTCAATTACACTCCAACGAGGTTGTTCCCGACTGGTTCAGGGGGCCCTAGCGCTCCTCCTGGGGGTGCTGCCAACACTCCATTCCACAGCCTCTCCCTTTTGTTTAACCACGGCCACAGGTCCTTTACATGCACTGAAGACCTCCCTCCTCAGTCCCTGTACCCTGTACCTCGTAAGTGTATCCGCGTCTGATTGAATTCGCTTTATTCCAAGTGGGAGCCCACACCGATGTGACTCCTTCTGGTCCTCATTCTGTAATGACCCGAGGTTGTGCTATCCTACTGGCCCCATTTCACAGACGGCAAGTGGAAGCACTGGTTCAGAGGACGGGCCAGGACCCAAGCCCAGGCCGCCTGGCTCCGGCCGTGCTCAGCCGCTGCACTGCCCGCGCTGTGGCTGTTGGGGGGGCGGACTTGCTGCATCCATAGGCCCCAGCCCCGCAGGGCCCCCTCCCCGAAACATGGCCCCGCTCTGGGGCTTGTGTTCATGGCATTCAGCTGCCATCTTCCGGCCTCAGCTGCTTTCCTTTTAACAAGTGCCAGGGCTGGGGGTGTTCAGGGAAGGCCTGGCACCCAGCTGTGCCCGGTCAGCAGCAGCCCTGCAGTTCATTGCTCTGCACCAGTGTTCTCAAGCTGGGCTGCACACACCAGTCAGCTGGGTCTTTGAGAGTGGCTGATGCTTTATCTGCACCCGAGACTGCGGTGCTCGTCTGGGCACGGGGCGGGAGGTTCAGAAGCCCCCAGGTGACTGTGCTGCATGGCCAAGTTAGAGAACCACACTGCTCCCATTGTCAGTTGGTTTTTGTTCGAATGGCAGAAGTGTAGTAATTTGGAAGTTGAAGGACACATGGGATATACATGGTTTTATTTCAACTTTTCACTTTCTTTTTAAAATTGATATTTTAGAGAGGAAGAAAGAGAAACATTGATTTGTTGTTCCACTCATTTAAAAAATCCTCACTCGAAGATATTTTTCTATTTGTCTTCAGAAACAGTAGGAGGGAGAGAAAGAAACATCGAAGTGAGAGGACATATTGACTGGTTGCCTCCCCCACGACCATGACCCCAACCAGGGCCGGAGATGAACCACAACTGAGGTACATGCCCTTGACCAGAATCGAACCCGTGACTCACTGGTCCACGGGCCAACACTCTAGCACTGAGCCAAACCGGCCAGGGCTGTTGTTCCATTCATTTATGCACTCATGGATTGACCCTTTTATGTGCCCTGACTGGGGATCAAACTCACAACCTTGGTGTACTGGGACGATGCTCTAACCAACTGAAATACCCAGTCAGGGGAGATATACGTGTTTTGTGGAAAAGCGTTTGTAATATAAAGTAAAAAAAAAAAAAAAAAAAAAAAAGCCCAGAGACTGTGAATGTGAACACGTGCTAATAAATGTTTACTTTAAAAACAAAGTTCTTGTAAAGTCACATGATCCAGAGACATGGCTAAAACCCAGGACATCTTGAAGCCTCATGTCTGCTGGGTCAGAACCTGTCCGTGGTCCTTCCTTGACCAGCCCCATCACAGCCTTCTTTCAGGGAGGAGCATATTTGAAAGGACTCCTACTACCTACACTTGCCCTTGAACCCGAATGACAAATGCCTTTATCTACCGGTCAGGTAACTGTTTTAAAAATCAGTGTCAGAAAATGTTGACATTAGTCATGGCTGGTCTGGCTCACTGGTTAGTGTCAGCCTGAGAACCAAAGAGTTGCAGGTTTGATTCCGGTCAAGGGGACATGCGTCAATTGCGGTTTGTACCCAGCCCTGGTCGGGGTCATGTGGGAGGCAACCAGGTGATGAGTCCCTCTCACTTCGTGATGTTTCTCTCTCCCTCCCTCCCTCCCACTCTATCTGAGACAATTACAAAAATACCCTCGGGTGAAGATTAAAAAAAAAAATGTTGACATTAAACCAAGCTTAAAAAGACTAATGGCGCCCTGGACAGTTTGGCTCAGCGGTTAGAGCGTCAGCCTGCGGTCCAGAGACCTGGATTCAGTTCCCACTAAGGGCATGTACCTTGGTTGCAGTTTGTCCCCGGCCCTGGTTGGATTGTGCGGGTGGCAGCCACTTGATGTGTCTGTCCCTTTCATGTTGATGTTTCTCTCTCTCCCTCCCACTCTATCTAAACAAAAAATGGAAAAATATCCTCGGGTGAGGATTAAAAAAACAAAAATACTAATGCTGCCCTGGCTGATATAGCTCAACTGGTTGAAGTGTCACAGGTTAGATTCCTGGTTATGGCACATACAGGTTGTGGGCTCCATCCCTAGTCCAGGTGTGTAAGGGAAGGGGCAACCGATCAATGTTTCTCTCTCACTTCCATGAAAGCGATACATCAAGTGAGGATTAAAAATAAACACAGCCCTGGCCGTTTGGCTCAGTGGTGAAGCGTCAGCCCCCGAACCAGAGTCGTGGGCTCGATTCCAGTAAAGGGCACGTACCTCAGTTGCGGTTCGTCCCCGGCCCTGGTTGAGGTCATGAAGGAGGCAACCAGTCAATGTGTCCCTCTCACGTTGATTTTCTCTCCCTCCCACTCTACCTGAAGATAAGTGGAAAAATATCCTTGGGTGAGAATTAAAAGATAAATAAATAAAAATAAACAAACACTAACACCAACCTGTGGTTTTCAAGTTGGGACAAACACTTTAGTAAGACTACCAGGTCCCTCCAGAGCCAAATGTCAGACGGACACTCGTCATTCAAACCTGGAACGGGTGAGTGGTTGGTTGCACGTGCGAGTTACCCATGTCACTGCTGTGGTTTGGAGATCATGGTATAAGACGTGTGCGGGTGCAGCATGACAAAGGTTAGACTGTGATGACTTTGTGACGTGTCAGCCTAATTGAAGTCCTGTTAAGATACTAATCTAGGTATTATTGTGAAGCTACTTCGAAGACGTAACTGAAGCCACTCATCAGTTGACCTTAACGAATTACCCTGGGTGATCTGCACGGGCCTGACGGAATCAGATGAAAGGTCTTACATCAGGGCTTGTGGTCCCCTGCCCCATTACCCCAAAATGAATTCTACCTGTGAACTGGCACTTCACCTGTGCCCGTGGAGTTGTCCTGGTCACCTCCCTTCTGGCTGACTACCCTATGGATTTTGGATTTGCTCAGCCAAATCCCACAATCACGGAAGCCGATTCCTTGTGGTTAATCTCTCAATACAGGTATCTTCACTTACTGATTCTGCTTTTTGGGTTCAATTCCGATAGGTGTGCAATAAATAAGAATGTCCACCTGGGGGCCTCCTAGTCCCGACTGAATATTAAAAACAACTCAATAGACTGATCAAATTCTTTTAGGGGAGGAATAAAATGCTAATAAAGCATCAAACTCCAAGGGGCAGAGAGCAAGCAACCACAGCATTTCACTCTGTAATACACGTGCTGCCTCCTTACTCCAGAGCAGAGCTCCCCGCAGTGCAATGTTCACGCCAGCACACCCCAACCCAGTGGGCATCGGCCCCTGTAACTTCTGAAATAAGGTCAGTGAAACAAGAGGAGTAAAATTAAAATTTAATCCATCGAAACGGGGTTCCGAGACCCTTGAGATGCCCTTCCTCCCGGAGCTATCTTTGGCCATTCTTTCACCTGTTCCCAGAACCAAGAGCCTGTGCCCCAGCTTGCCCAGGACGGTAACTGCAGTCCCTCTGGTGGGCAATATGGTCAGGTGGCTGACATGCCACTGCCCTGGGTGACCTCTAACAGCTCCTCATTTGTCTCTGCTCCAATGAGACGCACAAACTCGAAGTCACACTGGGCCTCCCACCTGACCTGACTCCTACGGAAGGACACTGCACTCGTCCTCACCTAAAATGCCCTTCCAAGGACTTCGGCAAATGTCAACAAACTCCTTGTCCCCTTTTTCAGGACACAAAGCCTCGAACTCTTGCAGGCCTATGGCAACGCCCCAAGGCACAAGGACAGAGACTCACAGACTGTTCTACACACGCACACACAGAGTATTCCTACAGACACTGAAGCCATTTTATTTTGCTCACAAACCACTGGGGATCTTGCCTGTGGACACCTCGGAGATTACAATGCAGATACACTTGGCTCCAGACACTTGAGAAGCGAGGTGAGAAAAACAATGATTTGGGGCAATCACAGGACTACGGGGTCAGGGTTTCCACCAGGGTTCCAGATGGTCAAGCTCGGCTTTTGTAGTTCTAAGGAAGCAGTGAGCGCACCACAGGGAGGGGACGGGGCACTGAACTACCAGAGGCCCTGCAGACATCGGCTGGGGGCCTTGAGCTGCCCGTGCGGAGGTCTAATGACAGGGCTCAGGGGCTCGCCTGCCCAGAGCTTACTTGGCCAAGGGGTTTCTGAAGTTCCTGCCGGCAAAGCTGGCCTTGCTGCCCAGCTCCTCTTCAATTCTTGGGAAGCAGAGAGAGGGGGAGGAGAAAACAGAAGTCAGATCTCAGTGCAGTAAGCTTTCTCATCCAGAGACTCTGAGACCCCATACTCGCCCGGTCTGTACAATTCACTCAAACCCTCTGAAATTGAGGGTCTCCGAGAAGCTGGGGACAGAGGGGCACTCACTCCCCCTCCCCCAGCAGGCTGCTGTCCACCTATAGCCCTGCCTCCTCTGCTCTACCCCCGTAATGTTTCCGAAGGACAAAACAGAAGAAACATCACAATCGTTATTTCTTTGAATATTAAAAAAAACCCTTTTTTAAATGAAAGGAAAACCCAGTTTCTTCAACTACTAAGCAGCATGGGGAAAAAAGGAGGGGAACTGAGTGTGAACACAGGAGCCTGGGGACTGAACAGATGACAGACTTGTAACTGACATTACAGACTTACTACTAACCCGGGGCACTATAATCAGAGTGGTTATCCCAAAAATACCTTTATCTGAAAGAGATACATACTGAAGTATGTGCAGGTGAAACCCTAAGACGCCTGGAATTGGCTTTAAAATCACAAGTGTGGTGCTGACAACACGAGCATGGAGGAACAGCGACAGCTGTTAAGTCGGGGTGATGGGAAAGGGCGTACGTTTTACTGTTGCTTCTTCTATGCTTAAAACTTTCCAGGACACTTTTAAAGGAGTGAGGTGGCAGGGCTTAAAAATGGGTATATCTCTTCCCTGCAAGCCTGGAAAAACTAATAAAAAACGGGGGCGGCGGCAAGTCTCCCTGGATTTGGGAGCCTCCTAAGGATACAACCAAGATAAAAAACGGGAGGACCAGAACATCCCAAAGCAAAACCCTGATGTCTGCCCTTTGGCAATTTTCTGCATCTCTCTGACCCCCAATGATTTCCTTGTCCAGAAAACAATGGTGCTAAATTAGATAATCACCAAGGCTCTTAAAATTCTATGATTGTCCAACAGGGAGCCTATTCCCTCTTCCACCAGCAGATGGCAGCATTGCACGGACCAGACTCTGCTTTGGGGCAATGTGGTAAGGCAGGCATCCCAGGTTCCGCACCCACCTCTGCTCTAGCTTAACACTGCTCAGTCCCCATGACCTGCACCAGCCCCAAAGAGCCAGGAGCTCCCAGTGGAGGGCAGTGCCCACGCACTCAGCACAGGCGTCCTCTTTACCTGAGGATCTGGTTGTACTTGGCCAAGCGCTCAGATCGGCAAGGCGCACCAGTCTTGATCTGGGAAGAGAAAAGAAAGGTTATGTTTGCTTCTAGTGCACATTGGATCTTGGTAGGCATTTTGGGCAAGGACAGTGCCGGGGATGAGAAAGAACAATTTTTTAAGGAGGGTTTTTGACCCTAGAAAGAAGGGGAGAAAGAGGGCATCCACAAGAGAGGAAGAAGAAAAGCGGCATCCAGGACCCATTCGTGGCCCCCGCCCCCATTTTGTGTTCAGGAAGCTGAGGTCAGAGGGAAGGAAGGACCAGCTTTCATTCCAGGGAGCTCCTTACCTGCCCAGTGCAGAGCCCCACCACCAGGTCAGCGATGAAGGTGTCTTCAGTCTCCCCGGAGCGATGCGACACCATGACGCCCCACCCGCTGGACTGGGCCAGCTTGCACCTAGAAGCCAGGAAACCACCCAGATGCCACCAACTCCGTTTCCACAAGAGCCCCTGCTGGCCCTCCTGGTGACATGCCTCACCACCCACGGCAGGAGACCAGGGGAGGACCAGGACCCGGGAGTGGCCGGCCTGGGGGAGACGGTGGCCTTCCTCTGCATTCACGCACCCCAGGGACCTCATCGGCCCTCTGGTCACATTTAAAAACCAGGCATAGCTTTCTTGAGGGGAGTGAGACTTTTCTCTGAAGTTCCCCGTGTGAAATTAAATTACAAGTCTAGGGCCACAAAGTGGGGTCAGGATTAGGCCACAAATGCCCAATGCCCCAGTCCCCTTGGTGCCATCGCTTCCTTCACAAGTCCCCGCGAGTTCACACGAGCAACCCTGCCACAGCTCCAGGCAGGAGGGCTCAACACCGAGGGGCTGCTCCCCCGGGGCACTCACGCCTGAATGGACTCGGTCACCGAGCCGATCTGGTTCACTTTGAGCAGGAGGCAGTTGCAGGATTTCTCGCTCACGGCCTTGGCGATACGCTTCGGGTTGGTCACTGTGAGGTCGTCGCCCACCACCTGGATTCCCGCGCTCGCAGTGAACTTCTGCCACGCTTCCCAGTCGTCCTGGTCGAAGGGGTCTTCGATGGACACCACTGCGGAAAGGGGCGCCGCACGGCATCAGTGAGCCCCCAGCCGCACCTCACCTACAGGGCAGGAACAGCTCCCCAGCTCACGCCTGCCCTGCCAACCTACTCCTGTGACGGCACAGTCACCCGCCATCCTGGGACTCACAGGCTTTTAGTGGGGTACTTACCTGCCCAGGGTGGTTTGCATCTCGGCTCTACCTTGAGCGAATTATTTAGCTCCAAGGTCACACACAAGGGCTCAGGGCAGCCTTTCTGGTCTGAATCATTTGTTGAGCGCCCTTGGGCAACTTACTGACCCCTCTGTGCCATTTCCTCCTATAAAATGGTACTAAGAGTCCCTACCTTCCTACGTGCGTTAAGTGAGCACAGGACCTGCAGGTGCGCCCAGCTCAGCCTGCCTGACAAAGCTTGCTCCCCTCACCTCTACGACAACACCAAGACCCATCTGCTTAGGCGGCTGCTGTGACCGTGACAACCGTCAGAGTCACTGCAGAACCACCCCGACTCCTCCGCAGCACCAGCTGCCTCTGGGAAGCCCTCTGCTCTCGGTGTGCGTCTGAACTGTCCCTCGGGGACAGCGCGCTGGGCCGCCGCCCCATTCTCACGCTGGCGCCGTCACCAGCAGGCGGAGTGCTGCGGTCACCTTGCCCCAGCGCTGGAGGCGGCGGCGCTCGGGAAGCACTCACCGGGGTAGTCCTTGATGAAGGACTTGTACAGGTTGGCCAGCTCGTCAGGGGTGATGTATCTGCTGGGGTCATCGGGTGACTTGAAGTCCAGGTCATACTTCCCAGACCTGAAGAACTCAGAGGCAGCCACGTCCATGCCGATGACCACCTTGTCGCTGTAGCCAGCTTTCGCGATGGCATGCTTCAGCAGCTCCAGTGCTGGGGACACAAGGCGGGCGACAATGGGGTTGGAGACCAGTCAGAGACACAGTTTTCTCTAATAGCTGCCAAATGGGACCCGTGACCCAGACCCAGAGGTGCTCTGGCCCCACCATCAGCTTCAAGGATTCCAGTTCCTTCTTTCTGCTCTGGGGCGAGAAACCACTGGCGAGAAACCCCTAGTGCATCACCCAGCGGGAAATGCAATCCTGCGTCTCAGAAAAGAGGCTCTCGCTGACAGACGCCCCCCAATTTAGTGCCCAAACTCTATGCTGGCCAAGATACAGGTACAGCGACCAGCTGAGATCAGCTGTCCTGAGGAACAGGGCCTGGGATCCAAGACAGCCCAGGGGAGCAGAGCCCAGGACGGGGGCCCAGGACCCAGGCTCTGCCTCACTCGGCAGCACTGTCTGTAGGGAAACTAACTCTCACACGTGGCTCCTGTTCACAGCAAAAACACAGAAACCACGTGAAAAGGCCACTGTTCATAGGTCAAAGGGCCGAACACCATCAATATCCTATGCAGTCGGCCCTCGCTGATCGCGGTCCATCAGTTCCAGACTCTACCACCATAAATGAATTTCCGCGAAGTAGGAATCTTTACTTATACAGTTGTCCCTGCCACTTGCGCTTCGACTTTTGCAGCTTCACTCTATCGTGGTTTTTTTAAAAAAAGATTATACTATATTTGAAAAACCGTGACAGAGTGAAGATGTGAAAGTTGAAGTGCGAAGCAGCGAGGGACGACTGGCGCTGACCACAGAGCAGGACGGATGTTCTCCTTCACCAGGTGCCCTTGAAGGCAGCCAAAGATGCTCGAGTCCTTTCCTTCTAACGCAAAAAATACTCAGCCATGACTTCTCTCTCTCTTAAAATACTTCTAATTGATTTTTTTTAGAGGAAGAAGGAGAGAAAGAAACATCAATGTGAGAGGGGAACATTGATTTACTGCCTCCTGCATACCTCCTACCAGAGATCAAGCCTGAGACCTGGGCAGTGCCCAAGAATCAAACTGGCAACCCTTCTGTGCCCAACTGAGCCATGCCAGCCAGGATCAGCCATGATTTCTGTACCCTCTGTTCAATGCTCACACTGAATTCTGTGCCTAAGGAAAAAGAAAACGCAGCCTGCGTGAGCTTCCCCGCGGTGGGAGGAACCACACAGCACTGATCAGTCCTGTACACACGGCATCTCCTCGGACAGAGATGTCACACCTTTGCCACTGCCAGATGGAGCGAGAGAAATAAACGGCCTCTACAGCCCACCAGCCCAATGCCAGCAAACCAGGCCATTTAGAAGTCCAACGAATAAAAAATCCCTGCTACTAAAAAAGAAGAAGGGCTAGCTCCCACCCACCCCAGACTGCAGTTCTGCTGAACAAAAGGTGGAAAGAGCATCGCTCCCTGGTGGTAGGTGTGGAAGACCCACCATCAGGGGCAGAGGTGGGGGGTGACGGGACAGTGCCACAGAACTTGGGGTCCCTCTAGCCCAGAGCCTCACCTTCTTTATTCTCCAGGATGTTGGGAGCAAAGCCGCCTTCATCTCCTACGTTGGTGGCATCTTTCCCGTACTTATCCTTGATGACGTTCTTTAGGTTGTGGTACACCTCCGCTCCAATGCGCATGGCTTCCTTGAAGCTGGTGGCACCGACGGGGAGGATCATGAACTCCTGCATGGCCAGCTTGTTGCCAGCGTGAGAACCACCATTGATGACATTAAAAGCCTGGGAGAGACAGAGAGTACAGGATCAGCCCAGAGAAGCCCCCGGAGCACCAAGCCGCGCGACATCCAACTGCACGGCCACTTGTGGCTGTGAATGCTCCCTGGTCACCCTTGATAACTGCAATGACCTTCAGAGGCACTCGCCATTCTGAGCACCCGCTACTCCCTCAGTGAAAGCACACAGCCCAGCGAGGACGATTTTCACCCCCCATCAACCATCAAGGACTTGGGGAGCAGAGAATTCGAATCACCGCCACTGAGACCTCCAGAGCCTGCTCACGTCCACCATGTTGGGAGACACAGGCGGATGCGATCAAGGTAGGTGGTCTCGGGCCCCCACCAGAAAGCTAATGTTCCCAACTCCCAAAGAAGCCACTCACCGGAACTGGCAAGACGACCTCGGCATTGCCAGCCAGGTCAGCAATGTGGCGGTACAGGGGCACTCCCTTCTCAACAGCCCCAGCCTTGCAGACCGCCAGGGACACTCCCAGAATGGCGTTCGCACCAAACTTAGCTGGAACAGAAGAGTTAATTGAGGTACTTCTTACTCTTCAACGTTCCTCCTGCTGGCCTTCCGGCCTGAGTGCACCTTGGACTGCACCCTGAACCTTTCCCTCACCTGATTTACTTTCCATGTTCAAGCTAGGAATGCAGATTGCATGCCACGTGGCCTCATCTGCTGTTCCCCTCAAGAGAGAGCCCCTTCTTTGGTGTATGGAATGGGGGCAAATTCCACAAATTGCTGGATTTAGCGTAAAGGACTACTCTTTTGAGTAACCCTCAGACGTACTGCCGTCACTGGCTATGATATCTAAAATTGTGACTTATTAAGGGGAGGCAGGAAAATTAGGGGACACCATAGTCTTCACGTAGTTCACTGTTAGGGACTACACAACCTCCCCGCAAACGGTCACCAGGTCTCCTGGGGACCATGACCTCCCCTGGCAGGGAGTCCACTTCGGACCACTCACACTTGTTCTCCGTTCCGTCCATCTCTATCATCAGCTTGTCGATCTTCTCCTGCTCCACCACGCTCAGTTTCTGCAGGGAGAGGGGTGACGTCACTATCTGCACGGTCTCTGGACTCACCATGGAAGCAGACAAGTCTGAACTGTGCCAAGTCCAAATCAGTTCTGTTACACATGTGACAGGCAAAAAGGGGGGAAATTCCCGAAAAAACGAGGAGACACAAAACTGCCCTTCATTTGCTTTAACACTATCAGACATTTTTCCAAGGACTAGGGAGCCAATAAAGAAATACACAAGATATGGTCCTTGTGTGCAAAGGTAAGTCTACCTGGGGAGCCCTAAGTTACACCGTACATAAGACAGAATCGACTGGTGCATGCTAAGGTGTTACTACAAAATGTGACTCGTAGGGCGGTATCGGACACTGTTCACTCAAACGGGCTTCGCCCTCGAGGGGCAGGCTATGCACTCAGCAGCGCCACCCTCGCCGTCCGCAGTGACGGCCCACTTCAGCAGCTGACGGGAGATGTGACTCTTGCAATAGTCCAAAACCATTTAGCGGAACAGTTGATGAATACTCAAGACGAATACTTTTGGTGAGATTGTAAAGTAATAAAACTGGCATCTTGAAAACTGGCTCAATGTCAATTTTTAATAAAAGTTGGTATTACTTTAAAACTTCATAATTGGCCCAGCCGGTGTGGGTCAATGGTAAGCATTGACCCATGTACCAAGAGGTCACTGGTTTGATTCCCGGTCAGGGCACATGCCCAGATTGTGGGCCCAATCACCAGAGTGGGGCGTGCAGGAGGCAGCCAATCAATGCTTCTATCTTTCTCTCCCTCTCAAATCAATAAAGAAACAAAACAAAAACTTCATAATTGAATCATAATGATGTGTCCTTTCATTTATCATGTTCTAGAAACTCATATATAAAACCATATGTAGTCCTGGCTGGTTTGGCTCAGCGGTTAGAGCGTCGGCCTGCGGTCCTGAGAGACCCGGGTTCAGTTCCCGCTAAGGGCATGTACCTCGGTTGCAGTTTGTCCTCGGCCCTGGTCGGTTGTGCGGGTGGCAGCCACTCGATGTGTTCCTTTCACATCGATGTTTCTCTCTCTCTCTCTGAACAAAAAATGGAAAAATGTCCTCGGGTGAGGATAAAAAACAAACAAACAAAAAATAAAATAAAAATAAATAAAACCATATGTAAATCCATCATGCCATGGTAATTTGGCACCTTTTGCCTTTTGACAAGGTAAATATGGAAAAAGTCAGCAGTTACTTAAGCAGATGGCTTCAGGGACCAACCCTCACCAAGAGTTAGATTGAAGTATGTCTCCCTCTTTCTCCCAAGGAAAAAAAATGTCCAGGAAAACCCTGCTTGCTGTTAGTCACGCCAGGTAAGGGCACAAAAAATGGAGGCATGCACCGGCTGGGCAGTAAGCAGAAACGGAGGACCAATTCCAGGGTCCCAAAGGCCAGGCCAAAGCAAGCCAGCAGGGGAGACACAGAGGAGCCACCAGCACACAGGCTGAATTCAAGGAGGGGTGACCACACCCAAGAACAGACGTGAGGCTGTGGCGGGTCTGGGCCTTGAGAAAGCTTCTCCAGCCAGGGGTTGTCAAACGGTTCCCTGTGCAAGGGCCGCAGGAGCTCCGGAGGGAGAATAATGAGGCAGAACTGCTGGACATTCGGGCTGTTGGGTCCCAGACCTACTTCGCCCACAGTGCCCTACTTTTAATATGTGACAGTCTAAGTAAGACTGAACAAGAGCTCCACTGTTTAAAGTCAGTAGAAATAGCCCTGGCCGGTTTGGCTCAGCAGTTAGAGCGTCGGCCTGCGGTCCAGAGAGACCCGGGTTCGTTTCCGCTAAGGGCACGTGCCTCAGTTGCAGTTTGTCCCCGGCCCTGGTTGGTCATGCGGGTGGCCGCCACTCAACGTGTCCCTTTCATGTCGATGTTTCTCTCTCTCTCTTCCTCTCTCTCCCTCCCACTCTATCTGAGCAAAAAGTGGAAAATGTCCTCGGGTGAAGGAAAAAAAGTAGTCAGTAGAAATATAGCAGATAATCCAGAGTTCACAAAAATGAGTCAGTCACCATGGATATTACGTCTAACACCCCTGGATGTATACTTCCCAAAGGTCAAGGCAGCAGGGGGGAAAAGCCAAGGCTCTGAGGCAGCCTCCCACCCCCCTGCTCTAGTTCCATTCACTGTTAGACGTGGACACACAGGGAGTGGGTTAGAAAAGGCCACACGAGTCTCGTGCTGACAGGGAACCCCCAGCACCTTCAGCGCTCAGAATAAGCTCTTCCATAAACAGGAAAGCCCGCTGGCCTGGGACAGCTCTGATGACATTAATATTCATTAGTTATCAGGAGGCAGGTCCTACCTTGCTAATCAGGGCAGGCGCAATACTTTTATTGATGTGCTCAACAGCCTTGGAGACACCTAGAAGGAGCAATCAAATCAGATTACGGACAGTAATGAAACAGGCTTGAGCAGCATTGCTGGGGAACCACTGCTGCGAACCCAGCTAGTCCAAAGCCCACCGAAGCCCTTTAATGATTGGCACCTCCTTCAAATCCCCATGTCCCTCCCCCCAGATCGGAAGACTTTCTGGCCCAGTCTGAGTGCTCTCTCCTAGGACCCCCGGGTTAGAGCCGCACACAGAGCAACCGCCTCGGTGTCTCAGGGGAGGTTAGCGGGCAAGACCATGCACTGGAAACACCAGCTGCAAAACTAAAGGGCGTGCAATGCGTTACCTGCGTGCACAAGGCTGGTGCCAGGAACTCATTAATATACTTAACGGGTCTGGAGACACCTGACCAGTGCAGAGTGACAGAGAAGGAAAAAAGAAAGAAGAGAAGAGAAAGGCTGTGAAGGACAGTGAGAGAGAGAGGACAGAAGGCGGGAAGACAGTGCAGGGACTGCGAGTTCACCCTCCTGCCGGTTAAGGCACAGCGCCGTCCCACTTCAGACACACACACACGAGCGGGCCCCGAGCCACTGTTCCCGTGGAGGGCCCTTTGTAGACCATCGGGTAGGACCGAGAACACCGATCGCAGGGAGTGCTTCCAAACTTATCTCCTGACTGCCGTGCCCACAGCCCCCTTAGACCTTTCGATATTCGCGCTCCCCCAGGGCATCGTGGCCCTTTGTGGGCCACAAACTGTGGCAATACTGTAGGATATTTTTTTTGCCTCTCGGGCAAAACCAATTTCTGCCCCCTGGGGTGACATTGCCCCCCCCCCCCCCCCGAGAATACATGTGATCCAGCCCTCTCTACCTTTCTGTCGTTTGGTTCTATTCACAGAACAATGAACTAGCCCTGGCCGGTTTGGCTCTGCGGTTAGAGTGTCAGCCTGCAGACTAGACAGACTTGGGTTCGGTTCCCGCTAAGGGCACGTACCTCAGTTGCAGTTTGTCCCCGGCCCCGATTGGGGTCATGTGGGTGGCAACCAGTCAATGTGTCTCTCTCACGTCGATGTCTCCCCGCCCCTAGCCCTATCTGAAGATAAACGCAAAAATGGGACCTAGGTCCCTGCTCCCAGCTCCGCCAGTGATGCTTCCGTGAACCAGTCAACAAAGGTCGAGCCGCTACTACTGCTGTGCAGGTCACCGTCAGCCAGACCTTCCAGATGCTTCCCTGAGACCCCTGAAGAGGGCTGGGGTCCGGGAGGCCCTGGGAGCCCGGCAGGGCTTTTCGTATTAACTAACATGTCCTCTTATCTGCCGGTTCCCTGGCCTACCCAGGAGTTTTTCACAGGCCGGAGACAAGCAGCAATAAGCATTAAAACGCTTGCCCCAGCTGTGGCCAGTGTGGCTCAGTTGGCTGGAGCGTCATCCCGTACACCAAAAAGTGGTGGGTTCGATTCCTGGTCTGGGCGCACAGGGAGGCAACTGATCCATGTTTCTCTCTTCATCAACCCACCCCCCACCCCCAGAACAAAACAAAAACAACTTAAAAAACAAAAGCCAAGACCAAAAAATGCTTGCGTCTGAGTTTACAGTAGGTGTAGGAACCTTGGAGCCAATAGGCAACTCTTTAGCTCTTCAGGTTGCTTGCTGTAACAGGGTGGGCCACACCTGAGGCTTCTCACCCTCAGATACAAGGGGGGTGGGGGGCTCTGACAGCCATGCTTGGGGCAGGCTGTGGGTGACGGTTCTTACCCTTGCCCATATAGCGGGTCTTGTCATTGTCCCGGAGTTCTAGAGCCTCGTAGATACCAGTTGAGGCACCACTGGGCACAGCAGCTCTGAAGAGACCTGGTTGTTGAGGGAGGGAAACGAACGTTAAGAAAGTTACAGCCCTCACCCATGCCACCCACCCACAGGTGGCATGGGCTACTGGGAAACATTGTTACTTCCTTCCACCAACTGGGAGACTCAGATGGTTTCTTCTTCCTGGTTTGCATGCTTCTGCAACACAGACCCTGCAGCAAAGCTGATGAATTCCTCTAGTTCAGTGGTTCTCAACCTTCCTAATGTTCACTCATGTTGTGGTGAGCCCCAACCATAAAATTACATTCGTTGCTACTTCATAACTAATTTTGCTGTTATGACTCGCCATTGGAAATATGTGTTTTCCAATGGTCTTAGGCGCCCCTGTGAAAGGGTCATTCGACCCCCAAAGGGGTTGTGACCCACAGGTTGAGAACTGCCGCTCTAGTTTAAAGAAAAAGCTTTAGAGTACATAGAGCTTTTCAAACTTGATTGTGCGTATGTATCACCTGGGGCTCTTGTAAAAATGCAGAGCAAACCAGGGGGTCCCAGATTCTTCCTCTCTAACAAGCGCCTCATGCCCTGCAGTGGGTCTGCTGACCACCCAGGAGCACTGCCCAACAGAAACATGTGAGCCACTTACAGGATTTACAGTTTTCTAGCAGCTATGTTGAAGATAAAAATTAAAAACGGGCCCTGGCTGGTTTGGCTCAGTGGTTGGAGCATTGGCCTGCGGACCAGAGAGTCCCAGGTTCGGTTCCCGCTAGGGGCACATACCAAAAAAAACAAAACAAAACAAAACAAAAAAAAAATTAAAAACGGGAAATATAGCCAAGACGTTATCATTTCAACACGTAACCAAATCAATAGAAACGTTCTGAGGTTATTTCAGACAGTCCGGCGTGAGAGAGCACTGCTGCTAAGTCACCCTCGGACAACCCTGGGATCAGGTCACCTGCTTTCAAGTCTTGAAAGCGTTGGCTTAAGAGGAATCTCTACAGCTCAGTTGTTTCAGTTTAAGCAGTGACAATGCTACTTGGGGGTTCTCTGCACAGCAGAAAAACCGGAAAAGAGGACAGACTGGGAGGTAAAGGACTCAAGACAATACAGGTGCAGTTTGACGACACCAGAACACAAAGCACTAAACCCGGTCTTGCAGATACAGAAACCAGCCATCTGGCTACACTTTGCAGGTGGAGCGGAAAATGGCCAGTCTTGGAGGGACAGAGAGTGTCAAGGACGGCGCTGAGATCTGGCTACATGGGAGACAGGCTTGGGGGAGCAGTTAAGAGCAGGCAGACTCCTCAATCTATTTGGAACTGTAAGGCATTTCCCAGCCTGAGGTCTGAAGAAGGGTGGGTGTGTGGGGGTGTGACAGCAAATAAACAAAGAAGCAATCAGCCAGGATTGTAATCAAGTGACCTGTTAGTAAGCCTGGGTCTTTGCCCTGTGTGAGCAGGACATTCTCTTGGGCACGGCCTGGCTTTCTATATATTCACCAGGTACTGGACCAGGTGAAGCAGCGACAAAAGCAGGAGTTACCCTAATGTGATCTATGGACTTTGGGTGACAAAGTGTCAGGGCAGGATGACTGTAACCAATGGACCACTTTGATATGGACAGCTGGTACAGGCGAGCTCTCTGCTACTCCCGTCCACTCTGCTGTGAACTAAGACTGCTCTAAAGTAGAGACTCCAAGGAAGAAGTGACAAAAAGCTGATAAATCCACTATTTCCTGTTTTATTTGAAAAGGATTAAGTCCTGGTCGGTTTGGCTCAGCGGTTAGAGCATCGGCCTGTGGCCCAGAGAGACCCGGGTTCGGTTCCCGCTAAGGGCGCGTACCTCGGTTGCAGTTTGTCCCCGGCCCTGGTTGGGTAGTGTGGGTGGCAGCCACTCAATGTGTCCCTTTCACATTGATGTTTCTCTCTTTCTCCCCCGTTCCCACTCCACCTGAACCAAAAATGGAAAAATGTCCTTGTTTAAAAAAAAATGAAAAGGATTAAGACACAGAGGGAGCCTTGGCCCAGTGGTTAGAGCAATGGCCCAGGGACCAAAGAGTTCAGGGATTGATTCTGGTCAAGGGCACGTACCTCGGCTGCAGTTCGATCCCCAGCCCTGGTTGGGGTCGTGCACGAGGCAACCAATAGATGTGTGTCTCACACATCGATGTTCTTCTTTCTCCCTCCCTCCCTTCCACTCTATCTGAAAACCAATGGGAAAATATCGTTGGGTGAAGATAAAAAATTAAAAAAGACAGAAGAGGGAAAGTTCCATATATTTAAATTTTTAAGAAATGTTAATTTTAGTCATTTTAAAGGGTTTCAAAGAAAATGGCCCCACTCCCTACAATCTTCTAGTGTCTTAGTCTTTTCCCGTTATTTCAAGTCCATTGCTTTCCAAGTGGAAAGTTCCACCCAATGACTAAGCAAACCAACTTCATAAGATGCCAAGAAATCCTCAGAGAGCCCACGGCATCCACTCTAAGCGCAAGCTCAGAGGGAACAACCCCTACCAGAGAGTGCCTACCACAGTTAGTGAGCACAGGCAAAACACAGGCACACTTTTGGCCAATGACATCTAGAATTAAGGGCTTTCTTTTTTATATTACTTTTTTATTTTTATTTTTTGTTAATCCTCATCTGAAGATATTTTCCCGTTGATTTTTAGATAGGGAGAAGGAGAGAGAAACAATGGGAGAGAGACGCACCAATTGGTTGCCTCCAAACGACCCCAATGGGGCCAGGCGTCAAACCTGCAACCCAGATATGTGCCCTTGACCAGAATCTAACCCAAGACCCTCTGGTCCTGGGGCCCAGACTCTAACTGCGGAGCCAACCGGCAGGGCTCAAGGGCTTCTTTCCTGGGCAGGGGGAGAGGAGAGGAGATGAGGACAGGAAAGGAAGGGCTGGAGGTGCCATACCCAGGCCTGTGAGTCACAAATGTGACTCAGCTCTGCCTGGCAGGTGTTCACGTGCTCAGCACCACTGGGTGATTCTGCCCAACCCTCCTCTTCCAACCTCACTCACTACGTCCAACTAGAAGACAGATGAGACACTGTGGAGGTAGTAACACAAGGTGATATATCTTTTGTTTTTAATTTATTTTTTAGAGAGGAAGGGAAAGAGATAGAAACATTGATGTGAAAGAAAAACATCGATCGGCTACCTTCTGCAGACCCCCCCACTGGGGATTGAGCCCACAACATGGGTATGTGCCCTGACCGGGAATCGAACCAGGACCTCTCAATCCGTGAAATGATGCTCAATCCACTGAACCACACTAGCTGGGCCTGAGGATATTTTTTCCATTGAGCTTTAGATAGAGTGGAAAAGAGGGATGGAGAGAGAAACATCAATGTAAGAGACACGGCTATTGGTTGTCTCCTACACAATGGCAACTGGGGCCAGGGACCTAACCTGCAACTCAGGTACATGCCGTTGACTGGGAATCAAACCTGCGACCCTTCAGTACGCAGGCCGATGCTCTAACCACTGAGCCAAAAACCGGCCAGGACAACAGAGGAACTTTTTTCTTTTTTCTTTTTAAAAAAATACGTTATTTATTTTGGAGGAAGAAAAGAAGGAAGAGAGAGAGAGATAGAAACACGAATGAGAGAGAAACATCTATTGGCTGCCTCCTGCATGTCCCCTACCGGGGATCGAGCCTGCAACATGGCATGTGCCCTGACTGGGAATTGAACCAGTGACCTGTTGGTACACGTGGTGATGCTCAATCCACTGAGCCACACCAGCAGGGCAACAGAGAAAGTTTTAAAAGTCCCCATTCTATTCTTTTTTCCACACAGGCAAGTGAACTCTTCCTAGGGGGACTTATAGCAGGTAAAAATAAGAACCTTCAGAATAGCCCAACACCCAAAAGTAAAAACTGTACCCAATCCTTGGTTTAAGAGTGATTTCTGCCCAATGGTGTGGCTCAGTGGATTGTCGTCCCATGGACTGAGAGGTCCGGGTTAGATTCCTGGTCAGGGCACGTGCCCGGGTTGTGGGCTCGATCCCTAGTGGCGGGGTGTGCAGGAGGCAGCCGATCAATGCTTCCCTCTCACATCGATGTTTCTATCTCTCTCCACCTCCCCCTCTTAAAAAAAAAAAAATCAGCCCTGCTGGTTTGCCTCAGCAGTTAAGCAGTTAGAAAATGGAAAAAATGTCCTTGGCTGAGGATTTAAAAAAAAAAAAAAACAGAACAAAAAAGAAAAAAATGTCCTCGGGTGAGGATTAAAAAAAAAAAAAAGAATTTTTCCCCCCATATTTTGTTCAGATAGAGTGGGAGGGAGGGAGGGAGAGAGAAACATCCATGTGAAAGGAACACACAGAGTGGCTGCCACCTGCACGACCCAACCAGGGCGGGGGACAAACTGCAACCGAGGTACGTGCCCTTGGCGGGAACCGAACCCAGGTCTCTCCGGACTGCAGGCTGACGCTCCAACTGCTGAGCCAAACCAGCCAGGGCTTTTTTTTTTTTAAAAGAGTGATTTCTGCAAACAAAGGTGACAGTGCTATATTTATATTTGCACTTGCTGATCTGGTCACATCAAGCTTCAGAGCAAACGAGTGATGGGGCCAGTTAGGGACTAGGTCTGACCTTACCCACCTCACTGACCTAGGAAGCAGCAACACTAGGACTCCTGCCTTACAACGCCCCCAACCCTAGTCGGGAACCAATCCACCAGCACGTGCAGACACAAAAGAAAGGCGTTTACAGTAATAGACATTTTCCTGCCCCAGACTCTGTCACTTTAAGCAAGTTTTCAAAAATAGAGTGTGGTGGAAGGAACTAGAGAAACAGACGTGGCACCATACCTTTCGAGGTGTAGAGATCCACCTCAACAGTGGGATTCCCACGAGAGTCGAAGATCTCTCTGGCATGCACTTTGAGAATAGACATCGTGAATTTCTGTGGGGAAGAGAGTTCACATAGTAAACCATAACGCAGCCTTGACTCATTCACTCAGGGATCACTTCTGAGGATTCCTAGACTAAAAGAACCTGCACCGGACTAAATACTGGACGCAGACAGGTTGGCTAGAATGGGGAAAGCCTGCTGGAAAGCAGTGGGAACTGCTCCTAAAAAATACCTTCGGCTCAGCTCTGTAAGGCCTTAAACCCCAGCAATTCAGGCCTTGTCCTATAAGCGAAGAAAGCCAGAGAAGGTATGCCAGGGAAAAATCAAATCCAGCAGGTAAGATGACCGTGTTAATGGAGAATGGCTGAAGAGGGGGCAGTTGGAAAGGAATTATTGTAATTAGTTAATGAGGGTTGGCATGCATGCAGAGAGACAAAGTCAGGACCAAGGGTACATGAAGGTCACAGGCAAAACCATCTAGGACTAAATATAGGGGTGGGGACAGAAAGAAAATCTGATTTTAGTGAAACAGTGGATTAAAAGTTTGGGACATATTTCATCAAGTTAAACTTGAGGCAGCAGTAGGATGTTCAACTGGTGGATATTAGATAATCAGTAAGCTCCTTGGTCTGTGCACTGTGATCTTTGTACTGCCAATTTCTGGGTCTTTCAAAACTCACAGTACTTGGATCTTTAGCAAGATAGGACACATTAATAATGATATGTAGTTAGTATTTCTTTCAAAGGGCATTTTACCCTGTACAAAAAACTTTATTATGAACTGTCATGATCTCTAAATAGAGGAAAGATTCTATCTTTGAACACTAAGGTACTCCAAGGTAAGAGCCTTCCTTTGAAAACACCATTAAAAAAAACTTCAGCTACAAAGAGCAAATAGCAAGTCTTCAAAGAAAGCCTCTCTCTTACTTTCTCTCCAAGGAAGACACTGAACCACTTGTAGGACTGAAGTGTGGATGAAAGGAACTGAATTAGTGTTCAGAAGCCAGGACCTAGCTGGGCTCCCTGCAAAATACTCTCTGGAATGTTCTGAAGCAGCAAATGGCTTTTTTTTTAAGTTTCAAAATTAGATGCTGAAGTCCGTCTGGAGCTTTGCTGCTGGTGTAACACTGGAATTTTATTCATGAACGGGTAAAAGATATCTGGTTCTTATCTATTAACTTACAAAAGAGTAATTTGTTTAAAAAATTCGGTTTTGATGTACTTTTAAACACATCTTCACTACACTACCTCAGCATACTGTTGTAAGCGCTCATTTTTTGTTTATTAGTGATCAACTTATTTCATGATGTGAAAACAAATTCAGCTTGGCTTTAAATTGGATGTTGCAAAGAAGTCGGGGAGTACAGGCAGGAAGGAAGAGTGGTCTCATCAGGAGTCTTCACAGCTTTGTATCTACTGGGGCTGGACCCCCTGGGACGCCCTGTGTGGGCCACGCGGCCAGGGCCTACACGTGCCCCGGAGGCAAGTCAGCCAGCACATCACACCACCCAAAGCGAAGACCTCCTGGCGGAGGAAGCAGGGAACCCACAGCTTTCTTAAACTACATCCTCTTTATGTCAGATCGGGGCCCACTGGCGGTGGCCAGCCCGGGGAGCCGGGAGCAGCCCGTGCCGGGGCTGGGGGAGGTCGCCCGGAGGGCTTCCCCATCATCCGACGGTTCTGCTGCAGTCTCCCCATGAATGAGCACCTTCTGAAGTTGTATTAGTCACCGCTCATTTCCGAGCAGACGGGCTGGGCACCCAGCCGCGGGAAGCAGGGGCAGCTGGTGGGGGAGGGGATTCTAGCTCCCTGCGCATCTCTCCTTTCCCGGCCCCTCGCTCCATTTTAGGAAGGGCTTGGCTTCAACGAGCGCCCGGGTTAGGCCTGTGTCTCCCCCCAGACCTGCCACTCCCAGCACCTCGTTAAGTGGCCCGCGCGCTCGATTCCTGGGCTCCCAGGACAGTTACGTGGCCCCGTAATTCCGTAATCACAGGATGAGCCCTCCGGGGAGAGCGGGCGCCGCGCCCGGCCTCGGGCCGCACAGCGGGGGCGGGGAGGCCGGCTCACGCGCCCACTCGCCCTTTACACGACCCGCCGACCCCCGGGCACGCCGTCTGATGGGCCGCAGCCCCAGGAGGGCACACGCGCGCCTGCCTGGGTGCCTGCTGGGCAGCCCTCCCCCGAGTCCTCACCTGGCTGCCGGATGTCGCCGCCCGGGAAAGAGGGTGCTGCAGACACTCGAGGGGAGCGCTAAGTCAGCAGGTGTGGCCGCTCGGAAGACCCTGAGCCCGTGTCTGTGCCGAGCGCCTCGACTTCCTGCCCAGCTCGGGAGACCCCGCCCACTTCCCGCCTCCGCCGTGCCGCCTCGCCATTGGCCCGGCGCCTTGTCACTCGGGCCCTCGCCTCCGGGAAAGGGGCGCGACTTCGGCCTTTGCTCCTGCGGGGACGGGGCGAACGACCCGCGGAGGTGGGGCGCCGCGGTGCTGGGGCTCCCCGGCGGCTGTGTGGGGGTGCGGGCGAGCCCTCGCCCCACTTTACTCCCGCCGCCCGTTGGGACCCCTGGAATCGCGGGCTCTGGGGCGCCGCTACCACCGGGGAGGGGCGGGGTGGGGCGGCCGGCATGAGCGCTCGGGGATCCATCACGTACTCCGAGTCCCGCACGCACGCAGCGTCGCTCCGGCGCCGCACGTCCGGCCCACGACCTTGGGGACGACCTCCGCGGCCCGCCCTCCGCCTCCGCCGCTGCGCCCACCGCCCCGCAGCGTGGTGTCCGGGACCCCGCAGGCCCGGAGGCGTGGGCGCCCGGGAGCCGCGAGCCCGGAGCTGCGACCCAGGCCCTCGTTCGCCCGCGGCGTCTGTGCCGAGGTGACCCCGTCCCTTTGCCCTTGTGCGTGGTCAGACTTGAGTGTCGGCCCGATGGCCTGTCATTACAGCTGATACTTTTGAGCGCCTCCCGCCTGCCGGGCAGGTCTCCGCGTGCGTCCCCAGTGTCGGTTCATTCCCTGGCTCTTGCTAATGTTGCGTCTTGAAAGGAGACTCGGCTCCCTCCCTTTCCTACCTCGTGGATCGAACCTGCCCGGCGTCCAGTGAGCCGGCCGTGTACTGCTTTGGACTGGAATCGCGCAGGGCAGGGGCCTTTCTCCAAGTGCAGAACCCGGGCAGAGTGACCAGTGAAAAACGGGCAGGTGTGAGTGCCGTGATTTTTACCTTTCTGATCAGGAAAGAACTGATACACGTTTAAAATCTGTTCTCCGGCACACGCCCCGACTCCATTTTCTAGTATAGTTGTTCTGTATTTCTCGGCATTCCTCTTGGTCTGTAAGACTGAAGGCTAAAACGATACCTTTCATCGCCATATTTTCCACATGCCTTGCCTGGAGACGTCCAAATGTGTGAATCTAATATTTCTTCTGGTCGGAAGCAAAAACTGCCTTTCTTCCTTAATGCCTAGCATTTTTTTTTTTTAAATCTCCCGAGCTAGTACTGGGCTTAGGTTTCCAAGGCATACAGTAAAAGTGAAGAAGTCCTATCGAATCCATAGTATTTGTTTTCCATTGACTAAGAAGCAAGAACTTTAGGGTTAAATTCAGCAAACAAGCAACAAGGAAGTTGTAAAATGTTGCTTTAAAAATTAGATGAATTTTGCAAGCCGAGTTTATGATTTCACCAGCAATACACTGATGTTTCAGACTGCTTAAAACCAAGATTTCAGCCCTATGACTCAGCAGCTAAATCAACAGCCAACATATCTCTCTCTTTTTTTTTTTTATCCTCACCCAAGGACATTTTTCCATTTTTTGTTCAGATAGAGTGGGAGGGAGAGAGAGAGAGAAACATTGACATGAAAGGGACACATCGAGTGGGTACCACCCGCACGACCCAACCAGGGCTGGGGACAAACTACAACCAAAGTACATGCCCTTAGCGGGAACCGAACCCGGTTCTTTCTAGACCGCAGGCCGATGCTCTAACCTCTGAGCCATACTGGCCAGGGCATCTCTTAAACATGGCTACAAAAATCAGACACAACTCACTTTGAGAGCAGTTAAAAGATGTGGCCCTGGAAAGGCTCCAGATCAATCTTTCATTTTACATTTAAAGTGGTTAGAGAAAGACATGGTTCTTATAACTGCCCCCTAGCCACAATCAGCGATCCCTAGCAGTAAATCAAACAGAACATGATCACAGATAGCTGTTGCAAGATTCTTGGGACCACAGCATAGTGTTCTGAGCCAGCACTTCAACCTCAAATTGTAGTTCCACTGTTAATGGTTAATGAGTATTCACGCCCTCAAATCTTTTCCAAAATCTACAGGCTGCCAAATGCCCTTCTTGTCTCCATGGCTCCCGAGGCTTTATTAGCAGGCCATGGAGCTCACACTGGTCTGCAGTCCAGGGCAGGGACACTGACCTTGTTTCAGGCATTTAGTTATTACCCGTCATTGACTAATGTGTTTGCTAAGCAATTTCATTGCAGTGGCATATCAGTAGCAGTCACCCTGCTGGTGGGAAGGAAGGGGAAATGAGTGTCTGAAGCTACTGTCAGAAGACCACACCATGAAGCACTGTGGGTAGCACCTGCGAGACAGTTGCAGGCGCATACTGGATTGAGAGAAGGTGAATCTGCCGCAGCCTGTGATCCACCTGTGGTTTGTGTATCCCTGGTTGAAATCTGCTGGTTGGCTGAAGGAGTGGCAGGTAACCAGCCAGACAGGAAACTTCAGGGTTGCATAGTGGCCAAGGGAGGTAAGAGATCAGAGGAGGTAGGAAGCCCTCAGAGGATGGTTCCTCCTCATAACAGACCATGAAATGTACGTTTATCATTATCTCACATACCAAAGATTACATGCAGTGTATCTGGTGTAAAGAATAATACTTGAATGTCTGTGCGCCCATCACCACTGTTAAGACATCAGCAATGCTGTGAAGGTCCCTTGTGTCATTCTTCTCTGGCTCTAGAGGGGCCACTATCCTAAATTTTGTATTTATCATTCCCTTGTTTTTCTTTATGGTTATTTATTTTTAAACTCATTTTTATTGTTGAATGTATTACAGATGTCCCCCTTTTTATGGTATTCAAATAATTGTTTGAACTTTATAGAAATAGCATCATACTGTTTGCAGCCTTTTGCTTCAACTTTTTAACTTGACGTTTGTGAGCTCCATCCCTATAGCTTTAAATGGTTTGTTTCCAGTGCTGTATAGTATTCCATCATGTGAATGTCACAATTTTTCCTGTCAATGCACATTTGGATTTTTTCCTGGTCTTTTTTTCTTGTTAATGTCAACAATGCTGCTATGAACTTTGTTGCAAATGTCTCCTGAGCAGACACAAGAGTTTCTCTAGGTCATATGCCTTGGGCATACACCTAGACTTGGAGTTCCCAGGTCATGGGTATAAGCCTCCTCATCGTTGTTTTCCAAAGAATGTGCACCTCTGTGCTTTTCTCCCAGGACCGTATATGAGTTCTGAACCAGTTTGGGGGGAGGAGGGAATCAAATTCAGCTCTTCCTTTGCAGTGTTTTCTAGAAATTGGATTGATACCACCCTTTCCAAGTCCTTCACTTAAAGAAAGCCCATGTCCCCTTTCTAAACGGCAGCAGCATTCTACCAATGATGGCTTCGAGGGCACCTCCTAGGGCACCTGCTGTCAGCCCCCTCCCCTGCCTTCTTCAGAGCTGACTTCACAGAGTCGGCGGTAGGAAGGAGGGGTTGGGCAAGGCGTACGTTTGGGGAACAGAAGGGAGAACAGTATGGTTTTTAAACTGTCATTGCTAGGAGGGCATTTATCGGGGGTGCCCTCCTGAGGGGAGTAAGGAAGAGGGGAATTAAGAAAAAAAACAAAAACAACTCAAGGAGTCAGGGAAGCAAGGAGCAGGCTCCCGGTGAGCAGAGCTCCCCCCAGAGGAGCAGATAAAGGTGGGGGCCAACGGAGAACATCAGAGGGAAGTCTTCACCTTGTGTCAGAGAGCTCGGCGGCTCTCCGGTGCCAGCTCCTTTGTCTGCACCAGGTGGAACCACACCAGCCTCAGGAGGCAGTGTTGAGCTGTGCAGCCAGAGGGCTCCCATCAGCGCGGCAGTGACTGCGGAAAGCAGGACTCAGCTCTCGGCAGGCAGCCGCTGCAGTAGTTCTGGAGCAGTCTTCTCTTCCTCTCCACGGTCCTACCCCCTTTTCCGCGGTTCTCAGGGTGGTCACTTGAAGGGGGGCCCAGAGCACGTGCAGCCGACAGAGCCCGTCAGGCCAGCAGCATTCCTAGAGGCCGGCAGGATGCAGGACCCTCAGGTGGCCCTCTCCGGAATGCCAGACCCTGTGCAGGAAGAGAGGTCAGAGGACACAGTGCGAGCCCCCGATGGAAAAGCAGGGCCGAGCTCTTCCTTCAGAAGGGCTTGGCCCCGCGTGATTCATTGACTGAGCGTAGGGTTTCCATGGAGGCTTCACATGGACCACAAGATCACCAGATCCCTGCCCCACCCCCAACCTGTCACAAATCTGCAACAGTCCTGAGGCCTTATTATCTGCCAGCTGTAACTCATGTCATCCCCGCGACAAGGTTGTGACTGGGTTGCATGGGATCATCTTCACTGTTCAAACCACAGAGCTCGCTGACTTGCCCAGGCCTACAGCTAGAGGGCCAGGGACCACCCCCACGCCCTCAGCCTCCGGCTTCTCCGTGGTGAACTTCACCCAGCCTTGGGCTTGGACCACAACCCTAAACTTCGTCCCAGGAGCCTCCCCGTCCTTTGCGTCCAGCCCATGACTATAACCGCACGCACAATTTAACTGTAGCAACTTCGTATTTGAGCAATGTGACTCAGGAAGCCTTTGTGTGTGCTGGGTCCCATCTCTCTAGAACGACTTTGTAGCTATGAGGAGAAAGCCGTTCCCACAGCCAGAGCGACAGTTACATTGCATCACAGTTCCCGTTCGAAAATGTCCCCAACCCCCACTTGCGAAGGCATTTTCTGGCATTCCCTAAACAAAAGGGTAGAACTTCCTCTGCTTTTCCGCAAACCCCTTACAGTTCTCTTGGGGCCGGTCCGTGGCCCGCCGACGTGGAATTCCATGGTGAGTCTTGTTTTTGTTTGTTTCCCGAGGGTCAGGAGGCTGCTGAGGGGAGAATGGACCTCAGCGGTTGTCAGAGCCTGTGGGAATCTTCTCGTGGCTAGAAGAGCGATGCAGACTAGGTGGATTCGTAACTGGCCCAGTGGGTTCCTCAGGGGCTGGTCCCGAACTGAAGGCTCGCTCCCAGGTGAGGAGCTGCTAAATGTCACAGGTCCTCAGAGGTGGCAGGACAGCCTGCCAGTGTGTGGCTGACTCGGGGTTTGTA